GATTTTGTCACGAATTAACACATCAATTTCCCAAAGCTACAGTGTGGCCTCCTGCCTGATTCCTCATGTGGCCTCACCCTTCCTGTGCCAGGCTACACACATGAGCAGTCATGCTGTGTATCTTGATGGAGGCAGGGGCCTTAGATTCTCCCCACTGCTCCTGCCCATTAAACATAGTGTATAAACACAGCTCACCTTTATCCTCTCCTTAGAGAGAAAATAGGCAGTGGCATGAAGCACATCAGCAGAATGTGTAGAATTGTGGTAGGGATTGGAAGAATGATAATTGGCTTCAATAATTTGTAACCATGACCTTAGCGTTGATTCGGAGCACTGTAAGAACTCACAGATTCCAAAGCGAGCAAACATTTTGAGACCAAGATAAATCAAAGGCCTATAAAGAGAAAAATACCCACAATGTTAGAACAAAGCAAACAAACAGGCCAAGTGTTTGAGGTCTGAATAAGCTCCAAGCCAAATTTCAGAGAGTGCAGGGCAGCAAAGTGGCGACTGCTTGGGCTGTGTTGGCCTCTTTCTGTAGGGGCCAACCAACTCTGGTTCCACTTCTTGCCCTCAGGGGACCAAGATGCACGGGTGAGAGCGGGCTGTCCACCGAAGCAGCAGCTCTGGCCTCAGCCTCATTGGGATTCCTGATTTGCCTGGGGGAGTTTGCTCGTTTTGTCCTTCCAGGTTCAGTTTCCTACTTGCACTATTGGATTCCTCCAAATAATCCTTTTCCAAGGCTAAGCTTGTGCCACCTTGAGCACTATCCTCTCCTTTGGACTTGCTGGACCGATGTCATTGGCCAGACATCCTGCCTATAAGAAAACATTTCCCGAAAACGTCATATGAGCCAGTCACTTCCGTATGCCATGGAATTTTCTCAATAATCTGGAGGTGGGAATTACATTGAGAGGATTTTCCCCAAGGTGACCAGCTGGTCACTAAGTTAGGTTCTTACTTGATAAATCAACTTGACCCAGCATCTGGCCCTTGCCTTTGAAGGCCACGAAACTGGCTGTGTTGAGGCAGTATCCAGAGGTGATCACAGAACTTAAACTGACTTGCCTTAGCCTGATTCACATGGATGTAATGTCATTAGGATATAAACCAGGTGCTCAAAGATTCATATGCCAAGGGAGTATTCTTTTCCACTCTCCTTGGCTGTGCTGGGAGATGGGGAAGTAGAATGTATCAGAAAGTTAACTCAAGGTGAGCCTGAAAAAGTCAGGGGGCTATCTTGGGGACAGGTCATCTAGACTGAGATGAGACGTGAGGAGCCATCCCATGGCCCAATGGAGCACACCTCTCCCAAGACACCCTTGGGGGCAGTCTTGGCTGGAATCAGCTCTGTGTACCTCCTTTCTTATGTGCCCAGCCAACTGCCAACCTTTGGTTAACAGCTCTTCTCTGGCAAGGGACAAAACTCGAGACAAAACCCCATTCCTGCTCCCACTCTCTGTGATCAAATCCAGATGAGGATGACTGGGGCTTTGGATGTCCCTATGCCTATCCGCAAGACAGCAATCAAGATCTGGGGGCAGCTCTTATCATATGTGTATGTGTGTTTCTAATAAATTTTGGTTCTAGGCTCTGAGCAGATCTCTTACGTATTACCACCTACAGGAGAAATACTTTTATTTCACAGAAAAAAGTCCTGTGTTACTTGGAGAAATCACTGGCATAGTTGCACGCTTTCCATGAATGTGCCATTACTGTGGCCAGCAGACTCTTCCCCAGGCCCTGGTGACTCACAGCCACCTGCTACCTGGCCACTCCTTCCTGAGAGCCCCTCCCTGCCCAGGGACCAGCTCTGTGCACAATCCACACTCTTTAAGTAGCCTCCTCACACAGGCCGTGGGAATCTAGTTCTCCCCTTGCTGAGCTCTGCATGAACTCACCTATTGTGCGTGGCAGCCTCCAGTTCAAAAATATCAAAGTCCCAGTATTCCTCATTTTCCATTGCCCGAGCTATCCGTGGTGGGACATCATCAAGGGAGATGGGAGTGATTATATTGCTTGAAACCATTTGAATGTCTGTAAAGTGATGTAATTTGGAGAACAAAATTAATAGGCTTTAGAGGATTGACTTTTTTTTTTTGGAGACGGAGTCTCATTCTGTTGCCTAGGCTGGAGTGCAGTGGTGTGATCTCGGTTCATTACAACCTCCACTTCTCAGGTTCAAGCGATTCTCCTGCCTCAGCCTCCCAAGTAGCTGGGACTATTGGCTCATGCCACCATGCCCAGCTAATTTTTGTATTTTTAGTAGAGACGGGGATTCACCATGTTGGCCAGGCTGATCTTGAATTCCTGACCTGGTGATCCACCTGCCTCGGCCTCCCAAAGTGCTGGGATTACAGGCGTGAACCACTGCGCCCAGCCAGGATTAACTATTTCTTAGGGAAGACAGTACTGCCTCAGAGACAGTTGCTTTGTTTCTGAGGCTTTATGACATATCAAGACACTTCTTAATGAGGTGAAAAATTATTTTCATCACTTAAGCTAGACTGCAATATTATACATAGTAATCTAAAAAATTAAAAAGGAAAAACTTACTTTTTGTTGAAAGAACATATTCATTCCCTGATAGTCTTCGTAAACCATCCTGATAAAAATCAAGGAACAAGAAAAAGTCACAACTATTCTTGCCTTCCTGGAAACTCCAGGTGGTCTTCCCAGAGGCCAGCTCAGGGCAGCCCTCTCCATCAATCCACTCAAGGCTGCCCTGGGCCCAGTAGGTCTACCCCTGTGATCATCATTGTGGTCAACCACTGACCTCAGTGACTTACTGGAGAGCACAATAGGCTACTGCTAAGGACAGGCCTGGCCCTGCTGGAAGCTAAATTCCGAGTAGGGTCAACACCTGAGAGGTGAGCTTGCATGTTTTTTGTTTTTTGCTTTTTTTTTTTTTAAAGATAAGGTTTTACCATATTGGTCAGGCTGGTCTTGAACCCCTGACCTCAGGTGATCCACCTGCCTCAGCCTCCCAAAGTGCTGGGATTACAGGTATGAGCCACTGCGCCCGGCTCGAGCTTGCATCTTTTGCAGGGCAGGTGGTCCTCAAGCCCAGCATTCTGGCCTACACTCCAGGGCCATTTGGTTTCTTAGGGACAACTCCGCTCTGCCTTCTGTTCTTCTCCATTTTCCTGCCACCCTCCTCACTCTGAGGACATGAGGCTTTCCTGGCATTAGATCCTCTTTCACCTTCTAAGTGACCTCATTTCTCCCAGTTGACACTCCTGAGCTCCTCACCACTGCTCCCAGACCACCTTGCTCAACCCCGGACTCTCAGCAGCCCCCTCTTCTCCAGTCCCATGGCTATTCTCATCTACTCACCTCCAGGACACTATCCCACCCCATCCCTCATCATTTTCACCTCTCACCTACAGTCTGAAGAAGACTCTGTCTCAAACAGGCAAGACCACAGTTAGATATTATCAACACTGGAAACGACCATACCTTCTAGATTTCTGCCTGGAACCTTATTTTTATAAAATCCAGTGACTTCAGAAAGCAGGAACTGGGAGGGAGAATTTGCTTCTGACCAAGACAAAAGCTAACAGAGCAATGGAATAATCTATGCTGCACAAAGTTGTCGCTCTCTAGTGAGAAATCTATACCAGACATGTTGAAGGAGGCATCCAGGGCCCCTCAAGAGTCTATGGCACAAAGCCCCTTTCTAGTGAAAGATACCCAAACCCCTCTTTCCTACAGTCATCCAAATGTGTGTGGGATGCTTTCAAGTCCAAACTGTTGGACACCCTGGCATCACTTTAAATACATATGGCGGAAGAAAGACATTCTTTCTGTTCTGCACTGAGCCAGTTTTCAAGATCTTTAATACAACTCAACAAGCTTTATTTAGATAAACTACTGTTGCAGCCCAAGCAACACTGGAGAACTAGCTCAGCAGAATGTCAGGATTACATTCTTCCGTGCTCTGCTCCAAGCTAAGCTATCCCTAGGAGGCAGGCAGCAGGTGGGTGTTTGTCCAGAGAGTATAGAACCCAGGCAATGAAGGAGAGTTTAGGCCTTGACTAAGCCCGATAGTGCCCTGCCTGCCTCTTCAAAGAGATCTGTTTAAATGAATAACCTCTGAGAAAACAGCCAAGGACAGACAGGCTCTCGCCAGGAGCCTAGTCAAATATACTTACAGACATTAATCCCCCAACAAGGTCATTGGCATGAGGATCATCATCCTTAACACCAAACTGTGGTGAATATAGTTCAGTGGTTCTCAGAATTTCCAGCACACGGTCTAGGGCTTCTGTCACAGGCATGGGACTGCTTTCCTGGGCAGCGTTGATAATATTGATTACCTACATTATGAAAAGAAAATACTTGAGTTTCATAACCTTAAAAACAATGGGAGAGCCAGGGATGGTGGTGTGTGCCTATAATCCCAGCTACTCAGGAGGCTGAGGGGGAGAATTACTTGAGCCCAGGAGTTTGAGACCAGCCTGGACAACAGAAGTAAAGCCCATCTCTAAAATAAACAAATAAAAGCAAAAACAAAACAAAATGAAATAAAACCCAAAAGGACTCAGTCTGGCCATAGTACTTAATACTAATGTAAAACTAGTTAAAATGTCCATGTCACACATCCTCTCTCTTCAGAGGAGGCAGCACCACACAACTAAGAGAGCATTCTCATTACTGCGGGTCCCCATTTCTTCTCATTGGAAACAATCCTTGGGGAGAACAAGGAGCATGTGTGCTCACTGGAGACAGACCACAAACTGCTTCACCTTGGTGATGGGCGCCTCAATTGTCATGGAATGTATCCGGGCCATGGAAGAGTGTCGTCTCTGGTTGGAAACTGTGGAGAAAGGGATGCACAAATCAGGGTGTGCACAGCCCTGGGCACCTGTCTTGACAGCAGAGGGCTCATTGTGCTCAGCTGCATGATGAAGGGGCAGGATAGAACTATGAGTTTGCTGAGCTTCCTTCCTATCCTAATAAGCCTGGGGTTCTGGCATAACCAATTCTGTTTCCTTCAGTTCTAGGCACTAGGAAGCACATATGCCCCCATGGACTGAACTTCTGATGTCACAGGCCAGAGAGAAAACAGAGGAAACTATCTAGCAAGCCAAAGCCAAACAGCCTCTTTTTGTGTCTATGACAATAAGCCTTTATAATTATTCAGCTTGCCATTCTCTAGGAGTAAAAACGTTCTGGAAGACAATGCCACAGAATGCTCTTTGTTTCATATATGGCAGGAATAAAACATTCAACTCACCAATAACTGAAATCCACAAATTTCTGGTTAAATTTTTCAAGGTACCCTCTGGGGCTTTGCACTGCTATGTTTAATCTAGAATGATTAGTAAATATCTTAAATGATTAGTAAATATCTTAAATGAGGCAGGATGCAACTCTTAGGTTCTAAAATTTGTTTATTTTTGTTGTTCTTGTCAAGATATGGTTCCTTTGGGGTGAGGAGAAGCCTGGGCAATGTCGAGGCAGAAAAAACATTAACATCCTGGGTATCTCCTGGGTATCTCCACGAACAATCCCATCAGGCTAAATGCTGCTTCCCAAAGTCATGACAAGACCAGGAACTGTCCCAGAGACTGATGTGTCAACCAAGGAGAGACAATGTCCAAGGTTAACCAATCCAGGGAGTTTCAAATGTTTTAAATTTGGGGACCCAACTAAACTTATAATTTTGGTGATCATAGGACTGCCAACTTTCCATTTTACCCAATGAAGTCATTAAACCAAAAATAAAAACTGCTATTTATCACCGTCATAAAAGGACTTGTTTTCATTTAAAAATAATTGACATATGCTTGTAACAAACAACAGAGATCTATTTTACCACAAGGTGACTACAGTTAATAACAACATACTTTTGAAAATCGCTAAGAGTAGATTTTAAGTGTTCTCACCACAAAAAAAAAAAAAAAAAGTGTATCAGGTAATACATACGTTAATTAGCCTCATTTAGCCATTCCACAATGTACAGATAGGTCAAAACGTCATGTACATGATAAATATACATCATTCTTACTTGTCAATTAAAAAATAAAGGAATTGGCTGGGCATGGTGGCTCACACCTGTAATCCCAGCTCTTTGGGAGGCCGAGGCAGGCAGATCACGAGGTCAAGAGATCAAGACCATCCTGACCAACATGGTAAAACCCCATCTCTAC